CGCTGGTGCTAATAACCGATAGGTGATACACGAAAACTTAATGATAAGTGTATGAAGTGATGAGCATTAGACATAGACCTATTAACTAAGGTAACTATATAGTTGGCCATAATTATTTTCCTACAGGCTACAATATTTCGATAMTTCATTCCACARCTATTCATTTTCCTAAAAAAATAAAAATAAATCTTAACCATTTTCTTCTATTATCAAAATAAGAAATTATCACACTCTTCTTAATTTAAACAGGCAAGAGGTACATATTATTTTCTGGCTAAAAGTGTTATTCAATATTATTTTAATATACTTAAAGGTAAATACCTAGTAAATATTAAATTATTTTAAATTAAATATGATTTTGATAAATGTAGTAAAATATTATTATTATTATTAAGATTTAAAATTAAATCAAATCGTACAAATCGAATTAACAAAAAACAAAATTAAAATATAATTTACAAATAATTATCATATATTATATATTATACAGTGTTCCGCAAGGATTTACCCATTGCGATATCTCACGAAATAATWGAGATATCAAAATTCTGGTTTTATAATAAGATTTACAGGAATAAGAACTACAATTATTTCATTTTAAAGTTTATTATAATGTTTTAGTAAAATAGTTAAAAAATATWTTTTTTTATTTAATTATTTGCAAAAATATTAAAGATAGCCATTTTGTAGTGTTTATTTTTCTGAAAATATTGACGTTTCAAAATTTTATTTCCATTAATTTCCTGATTTTTGATATTTTTTCTAGTTTTGATGAAATAAAATATGATTATAAATTTATAACTATTAGGAACACGGAGAGTATTCGGCCGGCCGAATGGGAATGCGCGCGGCACGGTGAGTCACATGATTGATAACATTATGGTGTTARATAATTCGCAATTTTTCTCAAAACTAAAAAAAATTTTAAAAATCAGGAAATTAATGAAAATAAAATTTTGAAACGTCAATATTTTCAGAAAAATAAACACTACAAAATGGCTATCTTTAATATTTTTGCAAATAATTAAATAAAAAAATATATTTTTAACTATTTTACTAAAACATTAAAATAAATCAAAATATGAAACAATATTTTAGTTCTTATCTCTGTAAGTTTTATTACCAAACCAGAATTTCGATATCACCATTATTTTGAGATATATCGCAATGGGTAAATCCTCACGGGACACCCTGTATATTAACCAGTGCAACGCGATTGCGCAATTTTTCTTTTTATGACCCGACTAATTACACCACAATTGCGCAAAAAAATTGTAACACGATTGCACCCCAATCCATTTTTACCTGTTAAAATCACAACACCATTGCCCACCAAATGATATGTGTATATATTAAGTAATGTAGTATCATATATTATACTATTGGGCAGCAAAAGATTAATTTGGCCCATTCTTCATATTCACCATTAAACCCGGCCCATAGTTTTACTTTTTTTGCTATTGGGTATCAAAATTAAAGTTGCATTGATTATTTATTATTTGTTTATTTGGATAAACAGTTGTGCCGTTAGGTATTAAGCCACTTAAGGTGTACTTTTCCACAAGCCTATAGTTATAATAATTATAAACCATAAAATATAAATAAATAAAAATATTTAATGATACTATGATAGAGTTAAATACTTATAATTATAATTAACCTATATGGCTATATAGGTAATAAGTATTAAGCCAGTGGATAAAATTTATCGATTCTATCATTGGATTGCCCAACAGCATTGGTATCATATTTCGATGTAGGTACTTGGGCGTGTTTGAAAGTTTTGAATTTTTTGAAAACATGTCCTTTAAATTAAAACATTTTTGGCTCGCATTCAAAAGCAACAATCTTTTCTTTTCAYGGGCTTTTTCAGCTCCACCCTTTCGTTTACCGAGCATGACACAACAGTAATGTTACAACTTACCTACTTACTAGTTTACTACTATAGTATAATCTATAATAAATAATAATGTAGGCATTGAGCATTTGAGCAGTGAGCACATCGCACGTAGTAAGTCGAATAATATTAAGATGTGTGACTGTGCGAGTGCAAATGTGCAATACTAGTTACGTAATTGCTAATCGCTATTTAATATGGTCATTCACTAATGTTGTGGAACAGAACAATGTAGAATAGACACTCGATCAGCTGATCGGGTTACTGTTAAAAACCCAGTTTATTTTTAGATTTGTTGAACAAAAAATAATAATAATATTTACGATGAAAAATCATGGCTATTTTTTTTATAGTAGACGGGTAAATTAGTTTTATACTGATAAATTCTATAATCATAAAATATTTATATCTATACTTGACAAAAAAAAATAATCATCTTTGGAAATATAATCTTACCGAGGCCTATTATTTAATTTTTGCCAGCCCCGGTAGCCCCAAAGAAAGTCCAGGGGCAGCATATGCTGCCTCTGCTGCCCCCATGAGCACGCCTATGGTTTGAATACCTAATAATATGTTTATTACTTGGAAAGTAGATGGATGCAAGGTAAAATATTTGAAATATAATAAATATAATTTAAATTCAAAAAAAAATATATGGTGGTAAAAGATAAGTGTTTTTGAAGGAACTAAACAATGAAGGAAAATATTATCTCATTTTTTAAGTTAAATGCTTCTCCTCTCCACTCAATACGTTATTATATAATATAATATATTATGCTATGATCATATTATAGGTACTAAATTTGAAACACTTGTGCGACACAACTTGTGTCAGTATATTGTCTTTTGTATATAGTGAGAGCTTAAAGTAAGTAGTAAGTACTGAGCATATAGTAGGTAAACATAGCTTTATTAAGTTAGTGGGTAAAAAAGAATGACAACTAAAAGAAATATTACTGGGGCTTTTCAGAGTGAGGCATTTTTCTCTGGGCTCCATTTTAAGAAATTTTTTACAGAAAAATTCCAGGTGGACTCGTGTGTTAGTTTAATAATAATAGTTTATATTATGATCAGTATTACTCCACGTTAACCATTAGGTCCTCATATTACCAAAATCTTTTTCTTTATGAAATTTCAATAATATTAAATTATTTCGTTTCTGCAGCTTATATTACATCATAATATTATATTAGAAAAACAGTATTTATTAAGCATGTTACGTTTTCAGTTATTTTAAATTATAATATAAAATTTCATTTATTTTTGGCACGGTACCGAAGTGCAAATATTAATCATAAGAATATCCAAAATTCTTGGAAATCGTTATTCCAAGTATCGACGTGGAATAACAGAGTTTATTTATTTTTCGCTATTAAAGTTATTATATCCCTGTTATTGAATATTCAATATTTTCGTTATTACTCATTCATTGTTTAAGTGTCGTGCAGCTAATATAATTTTCAGAAGTGTTAATATTTTAATACTGAAGACTATAACAATTACATTTACGTCGATATCATGAGTTTGAAATACTTTGCAGGTTTGTTAAATTTGATAAAATTTTGCAAATTTTTGTGACTATACGATTTTTTTATTATATTGTGATTTGATTCGCACCTTATTCTGAAAAATCTTTGAGTGAATTAATGAATTAATTTGTGATAATTAACACTAACATCTCTCTGGCCACATTACTGGTTGTTACAGGCGGAGTTTCAACTTCTAGAGTCAACGACTATATAATAATAATCTCCTCACTTTAGGTAACCCATTTACGGCATGTCATATCAAACGCATTAATTTTGATATATACGACTGCTTTACAGACAATGATGCATTGTTTGAAATCAACTTTCACAATATTATGTTCAGGGATCTGCGAGCCACATCTTACCGGCGCACAGATCCGAAATCATTAAATAATTATTATTATTATCATTAAAATACTATTGTTGTCAAAGAATACCATCAATATTTTTCTGTGTGAGAGGAATGTTGTGTGCTATAACTGGTATGTCTAATTTTAAATAGCCAGAGAGAAAAATCACTAAAATTTTCTACTCCTCCCTTAAAGGCTGTTTGTGTAAATTGAAAGCTGTATACATAAATATAAAGTTATTACTATAAAGTACGTTCGAATCTGAGTGATATGAACATCCGGTTGGAACGCATATTAGAAATTTTTTAAATAACTGAAAAATTCTCTGCACTATTTTTTTATTACAGTATATAATATTGTATATCACAGGCGGAGATGGTGTTTATTATGATAATAAATGCCCTTCCAGGGTATTTGAAAAGAGTGTAATTATTTATAGCCTGCGATATTGAGACGAATATTGTTTAAAGTCATTTATGGATTATTTATAGTATATTTTTGGATATATAATGGTTGTTTTTATTTTCTACACGACCCATTTCAAATATTTTCTTCAAATACTTCAAAGCAATAATCAAAAAGATTAACACGTATTTTTCGATTTTTGTTCGTATAGAAAAAATGTAATTGATTATTTTTTAATATTCTTCACTGTAATTAAAATGTTTTTATATACAATAGTTAATATGTATGTGAAAGGAAAGAAAGTAAAAATTAAAGATCAATAGTGTTGTATTGTGGTTATTTAAATGTATAACAACTTGATAATTTATCAAAACACAATTTAAGCTCCCACTAAAATTCTTCTAAATCTCCACTATCGACAAATAATATTATAATATATATAAACATATATTCTTTAAAATTTTCAGATCATATTCTGATAAACGACGTTTTATACATGAAAGCTTTAATTGTTTTAGCTATGGATAAACATATATTCTTTAAACTCGATCCATAAATATATTATTATTATTGGATAAGAACCATACTTATCAACTATACATATGTAACCAATATTAACACAACAGTTTGGTCATTCTGGTAAGAACACTTATTTTCGGAAACATTTTTTTTTCGCTTTAAACACGCATGCGGTTATTACCGTTATACCAGTGGTGCTGTAAGTCAGGGGTGGAGGCGACGGGGGTAGAATTTAAACGACACGCCGAGGTTGCAAGAGAGTATACAGTTAGTAGTAATGTGGCGGCCGGCCGAATCACATGCCGCGTGCATTGCGTGCTGCTTCCTCGTCAGCCTTTTGCGGGCCGATGTCCATGCGGTTGATTCAACAGGTATGCCTCTAAAATTAAACTTTATAATTTTCTAGTAAATTAGTCAATGATTAGGGTGGATAGGAAAATTGCGAAAATGTATGGGCCTTGGAAAATAATAATAATAAGTCACGTTAGGTTACGGTTTCGGTGAGATTTAACCATGCTCGATGACGATACGAGGCAGAAAATATTTTGTAGAACCAACGATAAGAATTCAATATATTTTGTCTTATTATCACATTAGCTGTATATTATAGTATTAACTATAATATATATAGACATTAGGTTCTCTAGGTGGGCATAATATTATTGTATGTTTTATTATTATTATGCACTCTACAGGATTTATGTTCAAACAGTTTATACCAATAATATAACGATTGTTCGTTTAAAGATTAATTACATCTAGTTTAAACTAAATGGATTTGTTTTCTATTTTCATCTGAAACTCAAATAATTTATTTTCCAATGTTTCAATTGAATTTTAAAAAATGTATTGAAAATAATAAATCATTTTATAAAGAAATAAAAGTTGTGTTTTACATTAAAAATATTTGTGTTAATTTTAAATGTTAGAGTTTTACTTATTTTTAAAGTGTACTTGAAATAATTAAATGAATAAATATTGAAAACGGAAAAAAAAAATTAATGATAAAGGTGAAATTGTATTTTGATTTTATATTCGTTCTTATAAATTTTATATTATATCGGAAATATCGATTTAATACAATTTAACGAGTTAAACAACATTTTGTAGGACTCTATGGTAAACCTACCTGCATTGTATTTTATAATTTGAAAATTCGTAATCTTATAATGAAGAAAGATTCCTTTTTAATTGAGTATAAAACTATATTTACTTAAACGGATAGAGAAATATTTTTTTAAACGTTTTTCGTTTTAATGTCTGTTAAATATTGTATTTAGAATATTTGTTACTCTTTCATGATATTAGACCATAAGAATATTTTTAAAATAATAATATATATTTTAAAGAATTAATGTTTTATTAAATATTATTGTTTATAAATATCAAAAGTTAATACCTAATCACCATTTATTTGTGCTTTTATTACAATTTGAAATATTATTTCGGAATTCCGTTTTAAAAATGTTATCATAATTATTATTACTTATGGTATAAGTTTAAATACAAGTTTAATATTAAAAAAAATTTTAAAATCAATCACGTAATTTTTAAATCTAAAATATGCAAATTAAATAAGTGGAATTTAAAATTAGTTGGYAGTTATGAAAATTAACAAATTTAAAATGTATTTAATTCAATTTAAAATTAAGTTAGTTTATAATAACATATAGGCACAAAAAAAATGTTACATAATTTATTATGATTTGAATTATTCCACAATTTATTGTTATTTTTTTCCAGAGAGAGTTCATTCTTGCATTCATTATTTTTAATTATTAAACTTAGTTATTTAAAAAGAATAATTTATTTTTATATATTTTTATGGCGACCAGAGTATTTATAAATACTATAAGGTACTATTTAAAAAAATAAAGTTACATTTTATTACAGTTGCAAAACTTGCTTTAAAATAGAGTATGTAGGTACCTATGCTTTATACTCGGGGAAATAAATTATAATCAATTTTGGTATAGTAATTTGTTTCACTAAGACACAAACTAAGTAGAGTATAAGTAGCAACTTTCAATTGTCGCGGAAAAATTGAAGTGGAATTCTATTGAAACGTATGCATTTATATAGGTTTAGACGTTGATGATTTGTTTTTGACTTATTGTATTAAAGTTTAGTTGATCAATGTATGTAACAAATGGATACTCATAATGCATATTTAATGTGGCTGTATATTAAGTAGGTATATCAGTATATTATATTGCATATCAAAAGTATGATAATATATAGACGTTGCAAAATGCAATTTATGCACATTTTTTAAAATATTGAACGTCATCTTAGATGATTGAATCAAATTTTTTTTTTTGTTTGACCAGAAATCTATTCTAAAGTCTTTCAAAATGAATTACGATATTTTCTAAGGAATCACCTAAAAAATATAAAATGACTGGTTTATTTAGTTTGAACGATATACTTATTTGAGAGTGTATAGTTTGTTTATCCAGTCACCCTTGTATTCAGATAACGCAATTTATCCTAGTATTGGAGGTGTTTTGGACCGTAGTTTAAGGACTAAAAAAAACATTATTCAGACGTGATTGGAAGTCAAAGGCAAAGTATGTATTCAAGGGATAGACGATAAAATATATCGGTAATATTACTCAAAGAGTTTTTGAAAAGGTATTGATACGATACAGAATTATGATAAAAATAATATGACCAAGACAAAAATGTGAAGTAATTGAAGTTTAAAAATTTTAAATTACTATTTTACTATTTGGAGAACCCTAAAAAATATAGCATGGTGTAAAATTAAAATTTATATAATATGGGAGTGTATAAAAACAATAGATATTATTTTGCTAAAACATTTTGAAGTGTTATAAATGGCGAATATCTATACCAAAATCGATTTGTGGTTCAAATATAAAAACAAACAATTCAAGTGTATTTATTATAATTTATTTTTATACTCAGTTTATTTTTATAATTATTTCTTTACTGAAAATTTCAAATAATTATGCAAAATATTAAAAACACGTTTTTTATATAATTTATGTATGTACAATATATTTGTTTCGTGGTAAGATAATCAAGTTTTTGCAGTGTACGCACTACTTGTACAAGTAGGTATAACCTGCGTCTGAGATCTTCAATTACCATATTTTTATGTGATCAACAATGTATCTTAAAAGTTTTGAAAACCTTTATGTGTAGCTCTGATTACATTTGATCACAATATCCGTTGTATTAAGCAATAATTAAAAATAATAATAACTGTGGCTACTTATCATAAATTAAGTATAGCTGGTATATCACGAAAAATGTATCTTTGAAACTAATTAATTACAGCCTGATATTATAATTACAGTGATAGTTAAGGCATTTTGAGTTTCTTAGAATTTGCTCCATAGGTAATATTTATTGTTCGTATACTTATTTATACGTCAACACGCACCGTGTTTGCTTGTTTTATAACTATTACACGTGTTCAGACTTATTTACTAATGGCTAATACCTAATGAAAAACAAAATTACAAAAAGATTAAAATGTCAAAGAACAAAAATACAAAAGATGTTTAGAACTTCGACAAGCAGAAAAAATGTCTAAAAAAAATGTGATATTAATAATTTAAATGATATGACTGTTTAATCAATTTAGAGCTTATTATACCTATTTTATTGTAATAGTATCAAATATTTACTAAGCATTTTCGTTTGTATTTAAATATTTTTCAGATAAAATTTATAAATTTATATTTGTAAATTTATAATTATAATTAATTATGCAACTATCTACCGTGTCCTTCGTTATATCAAAAAACGAGTTATCCATATAACTTGAAATTTGATAATATTAGTCATACGAGAGGAAGTTGGGTTGAACTATAAGAATATTAGGTTTGAAAATAATTAATTAAGTCAGTTCAGAATCACTTTAAGTTCAAACTAAATCATTTCAAGACAAATTTAATTCTTAATAATTATGAATATTTGATAGTAATTTTATAAGCTTTTTAAAGTAGGAAGAATATAYGGAGATTAAAAGACTTACATCATATATTTTTTAGGCCAACTACTTGGGAAATTATTAACTTCAGATTTTTTGAAAATATTTTTATTATTAAATTTGGTCTTTAGAAGTGCAATTTTTTCAATACTCTAATAGCTCGTGAGAAAATTTTGAAAAATCGAGAAAGGAAGAATCGCAAGTAGTTAGTTTTCTATATTGAAAATAGATTGTTTTTAGATAAGTTTAGATTCAATTTGAATTAAATGATTGCGGTAAAATTGTTTATAATATATTCATCAAACTTCTATATAATTACAAATAAGTATTTAAATATTGTTTAAAACTGAATTAATTTATCTGTTTACATTTAAAATATGAGTTTTTTATAATCTTAAATAGTATGCTAGGAGGAAGCAATAACTCAACACTTGAATATTATTTTAGTTTAAATGCAATTATTTGTCAGCGATGAAACTTAAAACAATAAAATAATATTTTTACTATAAAACAATTTATAAATAGTTGTTCGATGTAACATGAAGCAAACGAATACTTCAAACTTTGATTGTGTGAAAAATAAAAAATGAAATATTTTATCCATTTTGTTATAATTTATTAGCATTGCATAAATGTTTATATACATAATACTATGGTAATTCTTTGGATAAATCAAAATCAATTATGGTGCAGCCCTTCGTATTGAAAAATAGTTGTTACTTATGATGTAATAAATAACAATAATTTAGTTTTACACTATCAATTACTTATACTAGTATATATAGCTGTACGTGATTTCCGTAGTTCAATTTGAAGTATTTATCTGAAGTCGTCTAATATATGGTTTTACAACCATCGTAATAGTTCACCATTACAGTGGCGTTCTAGTTTGGGCAGTGATTTTTATTTTATTTTTTTGTTCCTTCTACGACGTATGAAGGTACCCACTAACCCACTATATTTTAGAATAAAAATAAAAATTACCTCCCCCATATTCTTGTCACCCTTTTTCACTTGGAGGGTTGCTGTCCATATCTTTCATCTTCGTCCTTGCCTACGGCTTTACGTACACAACAGTTCTTGTACGTGTATAATTTTTGAAATGCTTTTGTTTAAGGGATAGTGGAAATTGGATGCTGTATAGACATTATATTCATAAAGTGTTGTTTTCTGGCCCACGGTTGTTTTTTCATAGTTTATACCTTTCATGAAATTTATTAAATCGAAAAAGCTATACCGTTGCAGTTGCTAACTATGTGTTTGTTTCATGATATCTCATCACTTCTTATGAATGAATGGCAGGCTAAAAACTTGACAGGTCCTTGAGGGGGTAAAAAGAATGACGATGATGATATTACAATTTATATATTATGTACATTTTCATATAACAAAGAAATTCTAATATAT